CTCCTCTATTTCAAAAGTAAAAGAAACACTCCCTCCCTGGTACACAATCCCCCCGCACCCTTCCCACCGCCCCAAGTACATTCCACTATGCAACCATAATTGTGAACTCTTGTGATAACCGTAAATTATTCACTCCCTCATCTGTTTGTGATTTTAACGAAAGTTTGCAGAAAAGTTAGATTTTCATTCATTCATTGTTGCACATTTTTAACCCTCTCCTCCTTCCCCAGTTCACTTTTTTTTAAAATCATTAACTTTTGCCCAATTATCTCCCTCCCCATCTCCCAGTCCTCTTTGCAGATTAGGTTTTATATGTACGACAATAGCTCATAATAAGAGGTATATTGTAAACTGATATTCTTGCTCTTTAGCACTCTGGAGAGGTCTTTGACAGAATTTCCGAATGCAATGTATCTTTTGATACCTTGTATGATACTGCCATTGGTGTTAATTGTGAAGCCAAGTAATTGACACCTTAGATCTTTTCTGTATTTATCATAGTGTTGCCTATTGATCCAGTAGTCAAAATTTTTGTTTTCTTGATATTGAGATGTAATCTATATTGAAAATTATAGCCTTTGATCTTTGGCAGTAAGTGCTTCAAGTCTTCCTTACTTTCTGCAAGCAAGGTTGTGTCATCTGTGTTACACAGGTTGTTGATGAGTCTTCCTCCAATTGTGATGTTGCATTCTTCTTCATATACTGTAACTTCTCAAATGATTTCCTAAGCATACAGGTTGAACTGGTATGGAGAAAGGGTGTAACTCTCATGCACAGCCTTCTTGATTTTAACATATGCAGTATTCCTTTGTTCTGTTCAGAGAACAACTTCTTGATCTATGTATAGGTTTCTCATGAGCATAATTTCTGGGTTCCCATTCTTCTCAAAGTTAGCCATAATTTATTAAAATCAGAGTCAAATGCCTTTTGCACAAACACAAGAAAACATCATTCTAGTATTCCATGACTTTAGCCAGGATCCAGCAGACATCATCAATGCCATTACTCATTCCATCATCTCTGCTGGCTCCAGCTTGAATTTCTGACAGTTTCCTATTGATACACCATTTGAGTGATTTTCAAATAACTTTCATCACGTTTTTACTTGCATGTGATAGTTGTTGTAAAGTGTCATCAAGTCATAGACGACTCATAGCGACCCTATGAATGAAAGATCTGAACACTTGTATAACTGGTAGTTTCTCCATGTTCATGAAGTTTCTGGAGGCAAGCCACTTTTGCTTCCAAGCTCGTTTTAATTGGGAAGTTCTACCAGACACTGTTCACCATGGGTAACCATTACCGCATTTGGCACATCAGTGTCACAGTGGTTAGCTTCAGAGCAACTGCGAGTTACCTCTGTTCAGCAATGCACAGATCAGTGTTATACCCCTTAGAAGAATGTTTGACAAAAAACAATTTAAACCAGGCCTAGAGGCTGCAGGCCTGAGGGCCCTAATAGGTTTTTAACTAGGAGGCCTTATCACATTGCCCCACTCCCTTTAATGAATCAACATTCTACCCTAATGCTCACCAATCCCAGCCAACAAGCCTCTGTACAGCCCAGCTCCTGTAGATGGCTTTCAAAATGGATTCCAGCCCATGTGATAGTAATGATATTAATAAGCTCCACATTATTCTGGATCACCTTTTATTCCTGAATGAAAACAACTATTTCTTTATCCTATCTTTGTAATGATGTGTACTTTCTCATGGATGATTTCCTTGGTGTCATCCCACCCTTCGTCTGGCCTTCAGTCATTGTTGTGAGTTGTGGTATTGGTGAAGAACATTGGATATCCCATGGACTGCCTGCCACTACTCCCAACAAATCTGTCCTGGAGGCAGTGCAACCAGGGCACTCCTTAGACAGGGATGGTAAAACTTCGTCCGAGGGAGAAAAATAGACAAGTTCCACCCATGCGATTATTTACAGCCTCTGAAAACTCACGGTAGGGTCAGCTATGAGCTAGTTCAGACTTGACAGCAATGAGTGAGTCAGTGAGTCAGTATATATATTAAAGACATTAAATTCCAGCAACTTTTTGGTTCTGAGAAAGTATTTTTCAAGAATGGAAACTGTTAGAACATAGAGGAATTTCCTTGATCACTTGTGAAACGTATGCATAGACAAAATTTTCTGTTTATCACAGACTCATGCTTGACAAAGACAATATAAAAAGCAACAAAGTGTCCTATGTGGTTTGAACAGTTATAATAAGCAAATTTCTCCTCCTGTTAATATACTAGAAAGAGAACGGAAATGAGGTCTTGTAGGAGAAAGAGAAGACAAGAGGAATGGAAGAGTAAGAAAGGATAGGGGAAGCAGACAAATAATGGGGTCTACTTGTCAAAGTTGTGCTTGAAACATTTTATTTCCACAAGCTACAGTATCCGTATTTTGTCAGATCAGTATGTTCTGTTTTTTATTATCATTTGGTTCTGTAATATAATTTATATCACATTTTATTAACATTTTTGACTATAAGAAATTCTTGAAACAGCTTTCATGATCATGTTGCATTTTGCTAACAAGATATAATGTAGTTATTGTATAGATGTTTTATATATTTCTGCTGCATATATAGAAATCAGTTAAAACAAATTCCAAAACTGTCAAATTTCTCATTGTAGTTTCTTTTGGCTAAGAAGTCAATACTCATGTAAACAGTGTACTGTGAGATGTGAAATAGTGACTGGTAATTCCTAAATATCATCTCAGATATGCACCAATTGAAAGATTCTTCTAAATGTTTATTTATTTTGCATTATCAAGAAACTCATAAAAATGATGTTACAAAAAGCAGCCTTTGTTATGAGGGCATTTTGGCTAACTTCATGTTGCTGGAGACAATACTGCAGCTACAACCAATTTCCTGGGTGTCTTGAGGTTCGAAGTTGATTTTACTAAGGCAAACATCAGTAATTTGATTTTGTCTAGATGACTGAACAGTCAAACTTCAAAATCATTCTTTCCAATGGCTTGTTCAGGCCAGGCTACTTCACTGTAAGGTCAGTCAAGGCATCAGAGACTTCCACACTGGCCTGAGCTGAAATGCTCACTGGTGTGATATTGAGATAAATGTCATACTGCTGGTCCAGGCCAAGGTAGCAATCACTCATGAGATACAGTGTGTAGATATACCTAAAATATAAAAACAAAAATGAAGCACATCTTTCAAATCACAGCCATATGTAACTTTTCCTAAACTTTGGCGGTGAGATTGTGCTTACCTTCCAGGTAACTCAGGGGTATAAAAAGAAATTGAAGCAACATGATGGTGTCGAACATATCCTACTCTTTTCAAAGCAATAAGTTCTCTTTTATCTACTTCTCCTAGTATTAAAAACCATCCTTCATCTTTTACTTTGGGAAATCGAGGGGTAACTGCAGAGCTGTCTTGCTTTCCCTGTAAAGAAAAACAAACAAATAAAGCATTAAAAATGTCTAGGCATTCTATACCACTTGGTTAATTCCCGATCTGATATGAAAGCAACATCAACATGATTTAGCACCTCTATCAGAAGGATTTAACATTTTCTTGCCTTCTAGATTGATGCCTCTTAATATGGCATTATCTACATTTCTTCAAAATTCTAAAATAATACTAGAGAAACAAGTTTTGTGACTTGGACAACCAGGAATATTTGACCCGATCCGGGCTATAGTCTTCGCAATCAGAGAGTTGCACAGTGAATACGGTTGATAGAAAGAGAATTGATGCCTTTGAGCTGTGGTGCTAGAGAAGAGTGTTGAATATACCATGGACTGCTAGAAGAACAAACAGGTTTATCCTAGAGAAGGTGAAGTCTAAATGCTCCTTGGAGTCAAGGATTCTGAAGCTTCGTCTGACATACTTTGAGTATGTTGCAAGGAGGGACTGGTCCTTGAGGGGCAGCGAAGGAGAGGAAGACCTTCGATGAGATGGATCGATTCTGTGACTGGAGTGGTGGGAATAAGTGTGTTTGAGATGGCTAGGTTGGCACAGGATAGAACAGCGTTTAGAACTCTTGTACACAGGGTCACTAAGAGTTGCAAATGACTTCATGGCACATAACAACAACAACAAGGGTAGAAAATTCTGAATCTTAACATCTGACTGAGTACATTTTTAAGAATTTCTAGAGATGGAATTCCATTTACAAATTATTACTGCAAGACACAATAATTTTAACTATATTTTACAAAGCTGTATTTGCATGGAACTGATACTTCGGGGGAAAAAAGTCAATGAAGGCTTGCCTATGGATTTCTGAATTGCTTATTGCCATCTATCAGATTCTGACTCATGGTGACTCCCATTTGGAGTAGAACTGCTTCAAGCAGTCTTCAATGCTGTGACCTTCTGCCAGCAGATCACCAGGACTGGCTTCTGTCTGCTGTACTTCTAGGTGAGTTTGAATAGCAAAGCCTTTAACAAAGAGTTGAGTATTTAAATGTTTCCACCAATCAGAGACTCCTGACCTCAGAGAACGACTGCTATGTCTTATAAAAATACCTTCACTCACAAGAACAAAATATACAGAAAAGCCCCCATATTCTAATATGTTGTATTAAAAATCCTTTCTCTGAGGAATGGAAACTTTAAAGACAAGCAGCTGTTAATATGTATTAATCACAATCCACAATTATTCCACAGTTATTCTTTAAGACAGTAACTCTGGCAAAAAAGTGGACTAATAATGACATCTTTTTAATCAGTCATCACTCACAACTTTTAGAGGTTGATTTTTTTTACACGGGATAGCATGAATGCAGTCCCCTGTTGTTGTTGTTATGTGCCGTCGAGTCGTTTGTGACTCATAGTGACCCTGTGTACAACAGCCCTAAACTCTGCTCTCTCCTGTGCAAATTGCATTGCCTCTGACACACCCATCCTGATTACCCCAGTCACTGAATCAGTCCACCTCATAGAGGGTCTTCCTCTCTTGCACTGTCCCTCCACC